ATAAATTCCAATCCTCTAGCTTCTCAGGTTTCGGAATTAGCAACTTACCCGAGAAAAATTTGGCGGACCCGTACATTGGTACCACGCATACCCGATGTCTGGGTTTCAGCTCATTGAGACTTACGTAGACAGGAAACGTTCCCTTAAAATTACATTGGGGACTTACCCGTAAAAAATTTTCACGGCCCGTACGTGGGAACCACGCATACCGAGAGTTGGACTCATTAATACGGGCAGGAAACACTCCCTTATAATTCCAGTATTCTAGATTTTCAGGTTCTCGAGTTAGCAACTTACCCAGAAAAAACTTTGGCGGGCCCTTACGTTGGCACCACGCGTAGCTGGAGACTGTTTTGAAGCTCATCAGGACTTTCGCGGACGGGAAACATGCCCCTTAAAATTTCAGCTTTCTAGCTTTTCTGGTTCCCGAGTTAGCGACTTACTCGCAAAAAACTTTCGCCGGCCCGTACGCGAGTGCCACGCGGGTAAAACCGTTCCTTTCTGGTGATGGGGGCCCGTACATGCATGTAGATTAAGTTCCTAAAGTTTCAGCCCTGTAGCTTTGTAGGCCTCGAGATGAAAAACAGGTACAAAGGCCCAGCGCACACACAGACAACCTCTATTCAATAAGCGTTTTCTGCATTGCGCAGCTGCAAAAAACGCACATTGACGAGGGGCTGTCTGTGTGTTCGTCTGTCCCGATTTTTCATCTCGAGAACTGCAAAAGCTATGAAGCTGAAATTTTGGTAACTTAATCTACATGCATGTACAGTCCCCCATCCCCAAAATGAGCGTTCTTACCCGCGTGGTACCCACGTACGGGCCCGTTAAAGTTTTCCATGGGCAAGCTGCAAAATCAGAAACCAGAGAAGCTGGGAAGCTGAAATTTTAAAGAGACGTTCCCCGTCGGTGCAGGTATTAAGGAGCTCAAAACCAGCCCCCGGGTGTGTGTGGTATCCACGTACGGGCTCGCGAAAATTTTTTTTCGGGTAAGTTATTAACTCGGGAATCTGAGAAGAGGACTGGAATTTTAAGGGGATGTTTCCCAACCAAGCATGTGTTAGGCAGCTCAAACCCAGACATCGGCGCACGTGGTACCCAGGTACGTGCCCGTCAAAGTTTTTTTCGGGTAAGACGCTAACTCGGGAGCAAGAAAAGCTAGAAAGCTA